GCGTCTCTATTCTAACTAATAGACTAACAGAATAGGCAACTAGTTAACACCACCAACCGCATACTAAATAACGAGGCCCTAATTATTCTGTTTATATAACGCAAAAGCATCAAAATAAAATTTGCATTTTTCTTAAGTTAAATATGATTACTGACTATTATTGATAGAAGCGAAGAATAAATTTACACAAATAATTACATCTCTAAAATATACTGTTACGTCTCCGTTCGTTAGTTAATTTTCCGTAAAAATTCTTTCCGAAGAAACTTTAGCGATACAAGTCCTTTCTTAAATAAAACTGGTTTATTCTTTCTGAATACAACTTAATTTTCACAGTCACGATATAACAAACGCTATAATTCACAACGAACGTCTCACGTGCTGGACTCAACAATATGTCTCTCTCTGTCCGCAGTTCAATTACTCATTACATTGTTGCCGCCAGTTCTTACCGGTTTATATATACAAGACTACCGCATATCTATTAGGCTCTCGAGATTTCAGGAAGGGACAGGATCCTTCTAGAAGTTCATGACGTGTTACTAGCGTCACGTGACTTCCGCTGTCGTAACAGTATGTTTCACTGCGCATACCGAAATAATAAACTATAGCAAGATACAAAGCTACAGCAATTAGCTTGCAGATTGTTGCAGTCCGATTAAAATACATTATGGTAAAGAAACAATATTCTATACATAATGATATATAATTATTTTATGTGTATTTCAGATTCTACATCTTATAGGTTTATTAAGTTCATAACCGTATGTGTTATATGTGGCCTACAATGAACGCACACAACGCAAATTAGCGAGGACAAGGCTTAGCTTAAAATTAATCTATCGGTAGCACTACTTGACCGTTAGGTAATACTGATGGAGCATAAAATCATTCAGTAAGAATTATATTCAATAGTAGCTTCAAACAAAAACTTTACCAGTCTAATTATTATTTTGTCAAATGGCCCATCGATTTCGGCGTCCTTATATTAGTATCTATAACTGAGTTGATATAATCTTAGATTAAAGTAAAAGACAGAAGACCTATTTTAGATTGATTCTTGTTAACAGGATACTAAATTAGTCTCGTCATCAAACAAAGCTGACCATATTATATTAAGCTACACTTTTTCGGAAGCAATGGGAAAGCAGATAAAACACACACACACGTACAATACAGAAAGAAATTTATATCGCTCACATTCACTCTTGAATGTTACTCGTTGCTGTCAAAAGATTAATTAATTTCGTATACTCTAGCCAAATCTCATGATTTTAAAATGTTCCATTGTATAGCTCAACAATTAAGCCTCAAAGGTTAGTTAGTTTCGTTAATTATCCCTAGTGGTACATAGATTACCTACATGACACTAAGTGCTAACTCTAAAACTATTTAATACTGTATCATATGAATACTGTTACGACAGCGGACGTCACGCGACACTGGAAGAATGCGTACTGGAGATTCAAGAAGGATCATGTCTGTTCGTGGCAACTCTAGTCTTCTCTACACGCCCTCTATTCTTGTAAATAAGTGCGCCAGACAATGAATCGGGACTGGAATAACAGACAGAGAGATTGAAGATATAGACAGATAATCGAATCAAGCCGTAAGTAAAGTGTGTAAATCAAAGTGTGTTAAGTTGACTGTGGAAATTAAGTGTATTGCAAAGTAGTATTGAGAAAGAATAAACTAGTTTTATTTAAGAAAGGACTTGTATCGCTAAAGTTTCATCCGAAAGAAATTATACGGGAAATTAACAAATGAACACAAATGTAACAAATTGGTGTCAGAGAGTGGGACGGAAAAAAAATAGAAACGAGAAGTGGTAAATCAAACTACGACTTAGTAGATTTGATGGCAGCAATACAAGAACAGCAAAAGAAACAAGAAGAACGAGAAAATAAACAAGAAAAGAGATTACACCAGTGGTTGGAGAAAAAAGAAAAGAAACAAGAACAAGAAAAGAGATTACACCAGTGGTTGGAGAAAAAAGAAAAGAAACAAGAACGAGAAAATAAACAAGAAAAGAGATTACACCAGTGGTTGGAGGAAAAAGAAAAGAAACAAGAAGAACGAGAAAATAAACAAGAAAAGAGATTACAGAAGTGGTTGGAGGAAAAAGAAAAGAACCAAGAAGAACGAGAAAAGAAACAAGAAGAGAAATTACAGCAGTGATTTGAGGAAAAATTAAAGAAACAAGAAGAACGAGAAAAGAAAAAGAAGAGAGATTATAGCAGTTGTTGGAGGAAAAAGAAAAGAAACAAGAAGAACGAGAAAATAAATAAGAAGGAAGTCTCCAACAATTGAGAGAAAGCCAGAGTACACAAATGGAAAACATTAGTAAATTTCAAAGCGAATTATATACATTAAAGAATGATCTATTGTCTTTACACGAGGAGGATATATAAGCCATCGACCTAATCAGCCTCAGACAATGGGAAGTCCCTTCCAGACCCCGCAGCTAAAACCTAATGCAGACATCTTTAGTCCTGCTAGAAGTGACATCTCAGATATGAATGTCAGCAATAGGGGTGAACTAGTACGAATGAAACCACGGGAATTCGATGGGAAGGCACCGGGGGAAGCATATACAGCACAATTTGAGCTCCTGGCAGAGATGAATGGATGGACAGAGGAGCAGAAAGCGATATATCTGCTAACGAGTTTGAAGAGACAACCACTGGAAATACTTGGACAGTTGTCAGCAGGCGACAGGCACAACTATAGAGCATTGGTAGCTGCTCTAGAACTCAGGTATGGAACCCAAAATCAGTCCAAAGTCTACAGGGCTAGGTTTAGGACGAGAGTACGTGCTAAAGGGGAGAGCCTGCAAGAGCTGGCACATAATTGGGAAAGTATTGCACACAAGGCCTACCCAACTGCGCCACCTGATGTCCTCAAGTTGTTGCTGAGGGATCAGTTTG